ACCATGGATGTCATGCCTACATACTCCTGAAATAGCCAAAGGGATAGAAGAATCCATATCAAAGCTAGCATTTTGAACTCACCATATCAAACACTAGGCCTAGTAATTTATATTCAGCAACACCACTGTCTTTTTCACTGACCAAATTTAAGTAACCCAATGTTATTTTCATTATGCTGAATATCTAGAATTCTTCCTGAAAACTTGTCATATGCATCTATCATCTCCCTTCTTGTAGAGGTTCGTTCATTATTATCTGTTCAAAATATACTTCAAAAAAATATTTTAAATGTATTCCTTCAAAAATGAACTGACTATATACAAGCATGTGACCCCTGAGTCAGTAGTAGTGAAGTCTTTGCTAGAGTAATTGACAGCTTGGATATAGTTGCTGGTTGTATATTCTTCAAGCCTGAATATTTCTCTCCTGGAATTTCAGTGTTTTAATAAATTCCTTTTCTGCCTAAGAAAAAAACTATAAGTAATACAAGACTCTTAAATGGACAAATACTATTCTGCTGTAACAAAAAATCACAAAATAATTCCATCAAAGCATTTGCCAAGGTAGAACAGAAATCATCCCAAAGGTTCTCTTCAGTCACCTCATTAAGTGGTCATTTCCAGTTATTAAATGATGGTTCAATTTACATTTAATTTTCAGAAACACCTCTGAAAAACAAGGTTAACCAGGAGCTAATGTAATAAAACAAAAGCCAAGCAATTTTTTTCTCTACATTGAAACAGACATCCAAAAAACAAAATAATTTCAATACAGCAGACAACTTTCATGTGTTAGGAATATCTGCAAACTTTCCTACAGAGTGAAAAATTTCAGAGGGAAGCCCTGCTATTAGTCTTCCTGATCTGCCTGCACTAAGTTGAAAGCTACTCTACTCTCAGTGCATTTTAGCTGCATTTCAGTCCTTGTGTTGCATGGTGTTTCAATGATGCCACTGCATATAAAAATGACATCACGTCTCTGCAAGCACTTGAGTGTATTCTGAGGAAAGGTCTCTGTCACCCATCTTGTCCAATTAACCAACTGAAAGAACTAAGAATGGCTTGTTTTCCCTCTAAAATTTCAGAAGAAACTGTCTCTAAAATAATTGGGGATTTTCAAGAAGTATTAGAATAATTTCAAGAGTAAAGTCATAAAGATTGTTCAAATACTTCTTTTTAAAAACAAGTTGCTTTTAAAAACATTTAAGCAGAAGCCTTACGCTGAAAAGGCATTTGTAGAAGTGTAGTCTCTTATTACTCTCTATTACTACTTACTAACAGTTGCT